GCCAGTCGGTCTCATGTAACATTTAGTCATTAGGAAAGAAACCAGGGTTTAATGAGCACATACTATGTTCTGGGTCAGTGTCAAGCTGTTTTTATCGGTCACTTCATTTAATCCCTCTTCAGCAGATGCTCATATTCCTATCTTACCTAAATTTCCCAAGGCCACACAGCTCTCAAGTGGCAGCTCCAGCAAATCTAACTCCGACTCCACACTCTTAGATTTCATTTTATTTTATCTGGCCTTTCAGTCTGAAATTAAAAGTCATGTTATTTTCATTTACCATCTTTTCTCCTGATTATTTTTTTTGTGAGTAAACATTCATAGTAATAATTGCAGTTACCAGCTCCTAAGGACTTAACTATGTGTTAGTATTGTACTCAAGGTTTTTTGCATTCATTTTCTTATTTAAGTCTCACAACAAACCTAGGCAGGTATAGAATATCCTCATTTTATGGGCAAAGACATGGGGATCAGAGAGTTTATTAAAGAAACTAACATCTACTGAGGTCTTTGTTTTAACACTATGTATTTTGATTTTTTGTGAATTCCCATGCAATAGGTAATTGTTATCAGCTTCATTTTAGAGCCCATGAATATTAATATCCTGTTCAGTAAACGGTCAACTTGGATTTAACCCACATCTTTCCCACTCTAACACTCTGCCATGCTGCTTCCCCCTGAGCTCCCCTCTGGACCCTCCTGCAGAATAAGACTATTTCATTCACATGAAAATGCTTTCAACCCACTTCAGAGGGCCTGCAGCTTCTATGGGTATTTCTTTCCCTGGCTAACAATCCCCAATTCCCTTCTTGTTTTTTCTTCATGTAATTTTTGGATGGCAAGCCTTCCATGGTTAGGGGCTGGTTTAAATCCTTAAAGAGGGTCTTGTCAATTATTATTCTCTAAAATTAGCATTAGCCAGGGGAGCGATTCCTTGCCTCCACTTTATGGCTGCCTAGAATGGAGCTCAGAGATGTGGAGCCATTTGTCTGTGATCACACAGCTGAACAGTGGGAGAGCTGGGAGTCACACTCAGGTTTCGGGAATTCTAAACTGTGTCCATTGATAGCTGGATGGAGGTTATCTATAGATGAGCTTGTTAGCAAGGGAGCATGAACCCCCTGAAATTATGTGCATAATTGTGTGTGCATGTGTGTACATACATTTTTCTGGGGCAAAGTCCAGGACTTTCATTAGATTCTCCAAAAATTATGCAATGCCCCAAAATCGTTAGGAACCATAAATTCAATGAAGACAAAAACAATAAAAGCTTGCATGAAAATATCGCATAGGTTCCCCCCCATCCCCTCAGAAGTCTGTACAAGAACACAAACATTTCTCCGGGTACCTAGGAACTCTAATCATACTTTCTAGTCCCTAGGATTAATTTTATTTTTTGCTTGGTAGCAGGAATGTGTGAAATGGTCCTAAATTGCTCCCTAAAGACCCCATCTCTATTGGGTAGGGATCCAATGGCAGGCTGTGGAGAGCCACGTGACCATGCCATTTCCTAAATTAAATCAGGAGACCCGAGATTAAGTTCCCTGCAGATTCTATCTCAGGCTCACTTAGACTGCCCAATAACATCCCCAATCCTTATCCTTCTTCCTTGCCCTTTCTTTTCATGGCCTTCTGGGTAGCATTGGGTGGGGGTTAAGAGAGCTTAAATGGGGAGCCTGAAGGCTTATGATTTTATCCCTGCTCTGCCATTTTGTGTTTGTGTGCGTGTGTTTTCTTGTAGAATCTCAGGTGAGTTACTTTTTCTATCCTTTTCTAAATCCCAATGTCCTCAAAATGTAAAATGGGGATAAATAGTAGTGTTTATTTCACAGGGCTGCTGAGTGAGGAGACACATGAGAAAACTGCCTAGAACGTATTACTGGCTCGTAAATGACAGTCATCACCAAGGTTCCTGCTTTTCCTCTTCTTTGCCTCTCTGCTGTGACTCCAACTCACACACCTTCATTTTTAGACAGTCCAGCAGGGTGACAGGAGGCCACTGCCGCCAGCTCCCAACTGACTTGCTGTTCCCGATAAGCACATAGACATTTTTTGGGCTTTATAATTTTTTTGTTACTGCTAATCACACTAGGGAAACAGCCAATGAGCGACAAAATTAAAAACTTGGAGAAGTCACAAAAGCTTTTAAAATCTCATAATAGTAATTCTTTACTAACTATTAGAATAAATCTGATGTTCTGAGAGCTTTTTGCTGACTTCTTTTTAGATGGCTCTGTAGAACTCTCAATTATTGGTTTTATTCCTGTGGGTGAACATCTTGAATTTTCTGCTGCCTCTCAGTTGTTTTGTTCTCCTCACGTTGCTTAATTTATGGAGGCTCCACTCTATAATTTGGGTTTCAGAATCAAGTTACTGCTGAAATAGAGCTGTGGTCTAGTTTGACATTCAAGGGCTTCCAGAATCGTGTTACTTATTTTATAAGGCAACTCCATGTACACGACTTCTAGTCCATGCCCTCCGCCAATTTTAAGGTGTCTGGTCTGCAGATATTATCTGAAGAAGCCCTGCCCAGGGTCCTTACCTCCACTCTGTGGCTGCCTAAAAATAGAGCTCAGACATGAGGAATGACTGGCCCAAGACCACACAGTTAGACAGAGGGAGAAATAAAACTCACAGGTCAGTGGCCTGTTAGGAACTGGGCTGCACAGCAGGAGGTGAGCGGCGGGCGAGCAAGCGAAGCTTCATCTGTATTTACAGCCGCTCCCCATCGCTTGCATCACTGCATAAACGCTACCTCCTGTCAGGTCAGCGGTGTTAGATTCTCATAGGAGCTCAAACCCTACTGT